TCATGAGATGCAACATGACTACTGGTTATTCTTACAAAAGAATCAAAATCCTCCTTATTATAATGATCATTTACTCAGTATATGATCAGTCATTTTACTTAATCTTCAACACATTTTTAATATGAGAATTATTGCTCCCAGTTTAATGTAATAGAAAAAGAGATTTCTAACAAAATACAATAGCATGCCCAAGTTCATCCAGGTAAAGGGATTGAGTCAGTACTGTCAATCAGTTCTATCCCATCACGTGCATATAATTTGATTCAGTGCATATAATAGAAAGAATTCTATTATATGCACTGAATCAAAGTGGCTTAGGATTTTATCACCTTTGACCCCAAGCCTGCCTGTTACTATTATACATTAGATTTTTTGTCAATCTGAACACACATTCTATAACCACAGAACCCCTTCTGAATATATGTGATTGCTAAATCTTTACCAAAAGCTTTAGATTATTTTTTAAATGTCTACATATTTGTAACCTGCCTTAGCTACTCCTATGGCACAGGTGCTGGATGTTGGATCGGATATAAACATGTGTGACAAAAGCAGAATTGAGTGCCTTGTTATAGAATTCATTGTATTTTTCCTGCTACCTGAAAACTCAATAATGATGAGTTGGAGGTTTTAAAATTCTAAACGTTTATAATACGCATCCATATGCATACTTTTCCTTAAAATAACTCAATGTATGGTTCAAAATGTAAAATCCAGAGAGTTGTAATCACTTACCTAAAATCCACAGCTAATATGTGTGGAGCCAGAAGGAAAACCCTGATTGTTTTTTTACTCCACGTGTAGGGCTTTGATTTCTTATTACAAAAAAAAGAGGTATAATAGCAAATATAATGTAAATTATTTGATGCCCAATTCCATATTGAAATTGGAACCGCACATATATTGTGAAGGTTCTACTTAGAATGACTCTCCAAGCTGGTTCAGTGTCATTAAGATTTCCCTTCCAGTTTATAGGGGAGCCTGGCTGTGTCCACACAAGTGCCTGCAGCAAACTTCTGCCATGTTTCCACCCGGAAATGTCTTGCCCTGGTCAGGTATTAATAGCTGCCTCATTTTCAGATTCTGACTGCATAGCCCTGTTGGAATTATACTGAATGGAAAACTCCACTTGGCTTTTCATTGCTGATTAGGACCTGAATGCTGTGTAAGAAATCCCCCGTTTGTCAATGTAGTAGTCCAAAGCCCAGTTCCTACCTAATGCTGTTCCTGGTTCAGGACCCCAGGACTCCAGCTCCTGCGCAGTATCTGTGACTTTTACTGTTCCGGGAGGGAATTTTAAACGAGTATGAAACAAACCTGAGAGTCATTATTTATTAAATGAGAGTGTTATTTTTCTCATGTATAAATGACAATGTAGTAATTATACATCACTGATATAGTTTCTATAATAATGACTAAGGCTTGCTCAAATCAAGCTTGGAGTCAAAAGCAGGATTGGCTATGCAGTAGGAAAGCAATGTGTGGCACTGGAAGAAGTACTGAAGCAGCAGCGAGGAGCCCGCTGTTCAACGCAGGGTCTGGATCTGCCTCTAACTTCCTGTGGCACTGGGGACAAATATTTCACTATCATAAACTTTCATTACCTTGTTAAATAAAGGCGCCAAATTGTACTGTCACTAAGCAGCACTAAGCAGCTTTGTATCTATCTTCAAATGTACATGTTTCTGTGATGTACATTCATAAGAAGGTTTTATCACTATCTACATATATGACGATATGTACTTACACAAAACAGGAATTATTTATTCCCTAACTTCTTTCTAAAGTCTGAAATCTTACACGTAGAATGTATTGCTTGAACTTTCCAGAGTTCCTTAGCATAGCATCTAGGGTTAATACTATGTTGGTTAGTATTGGACTAGATCTAGGGGGAAAAAAAGCTTTGGGATTACTTTAGTTTGTTTTTAAAAGAAAATGAACCTAAATCTGTACCTAAATTTAAGCATTTTAGTAATACTTTATTAGTCCTAGAAGAAAACCAGAAGTTAATATGATCATCGAAATTGAACCTGAATTAGTTTTATCCATTTTACTTGGCAGTGATTAAACTCTGTCCTGGCAATATTGAGCCAAGGCCTTAGAAGAGCTGGTTTTCCTTCACATGGGTTATCATGTAGCCCTGTGCTGCCAGGCAAGGAATGTGCAATAGTTTTGTTCCTTCCCTCACTTTCTTTAGTCACCTTATCTGATTTTCTTTTATTTGAGATATCAGTTGAATGCCATGTAATTTACGTTTTAAAGTTTATGCATGCTTTAGTGGGTTTTGGTACATTCGGAAAGTTTTGCAAACACCACCAGTATCTAATTCCAGAACATTTCATCCCTCCAACAAACAGTCACTCCACCCCACTCCACCCATATATCCATCTCACCTTCCCAACCATTGATACTCACTACAATACTCCAATTCGTATATCCATCTCACTCCTTCCCAACCATTGATACTTACCACAGTCACTCCACCTGTATATCCATCTCACCTCCTTCCCCAACCATTGATACTCACTACAGTCACTCCACCCGTATATCCATCTCACCTCCTTCCCCAACCATTGATACTCACTACTCTACTCACTATCTCTGGATTTGCTTATTGTGGACATTTCATATAAATGGAATCATACAACATGTGGCCTTTTGTGTCTGGCTCCTGGCACTTAACATAATGTGTATGAGATGCATCCTTGTTGCCACATAAATCAGCATTTCATTCTCCTTTGTAATTGAATGATACTACAGTTGCATTCTGCAGAACTATCACACTATATTTATGCATTCATCACTTGATAGATGTTTGGGTTGTTTCCACATTATGAATGATGTTACTATGAACATTTGTGCACAAGCTTTTGTGCAGACATATGTTTTCATTAACCTTAGAACTAGACCTAAAAGTGGAATTGTTGGATTGTGTGGCGACTGTGTGTTTTACCTTTTGAGGCACTGCCAACCTATTCTCCACAGCTTCTGCGTCGTTTTACATTTCCACCAGCAATGTATGTGAGCTGCAGCTTTTCCACATCCTCACAAACACTTTATAATGTCCATTTTTAAGTTATAGCCATTACAGTGGATGTGAAGTAGTATCTCATGGTCATTTGTTTCTTTGATTCTTAAGCTGGTAGTTCACTTAAAACTGAAAGTACTCTAAGAAATCACATTTCAGTATTCATATGAACATAATATTAATTTATTGCTACTCTTATTATTTTAGTATCTACAATCACCCTTCTCCAGTTTTCTCTGAGGAGTGTTTTCTTGGACTTTTTTTGGGGGGTGGGGTTTGGATCAATTTCATTCTGTTACCCAAGCTGGAGTGTGGGGTGTAATCTCTGTTCACTGCAACATCCACCTCCCCGGTTCAAGTCATCCTCCCACCTCAGCCTCCTGAGTAGCTGGAAATACAGGCATCCGCCATCACACCCGGCTAATTTTTGCATTTTTAGTAAAGACGGGGTTTCACCATGTTGGCCAGGCTAGTCTCGAACTCCTGACCTCAAATGATCTGCCTACCTCAACCTCCCAAAGTGCTGGCATTGCAGAGGTAAGCTACTGCACCCCAGCCTACTCCAGTTTTCTTAGTCTCATTTTTCTTAGTCTGTAATGTTAGAACTATTCAAAAATAAGCTGGGTGCAGTGTGCACACCTGTAGTTCCTGCTACTTGGGAGGCTGATGTGGGAGGATCTTCTGGGCCCAGGAGTTTGAGGCCAGCCTAGGCAACATAGCAAGGCCCCATCTCTTACAAAAAGAAAAAGGAAAAAAAAGGAGAGAGAGAGAACACTCTCTACAAATAAGGAGATTAGCATGGGAGTATCACCTACAAGGACATGGTTTCAACCAACCCTATTCCTATATTCATTAATAACTTAATTTCAGGTTTGCTTGCATTAAATCATGGGGGTATTACATTGAAATTCTTCCAGTACATGGAGAGGAAGATGATGACTATGGTGAATATGTCTGACATGTAGGACTCTTGTTTAATTCAGCTGAAGAAGATGCAATAGCATTTGTGTTTCTTCTGCTTATCTCAGAAGGGGAGAAATTTCTTCTTTCCACAAAATAGATTTTGTTCATGTGACATGTCAGGATATGATTTTATTGTATTGATTTTTAAATCTCATCATAAGTCACTAAACAAGACTCAGGCAGAAAAGGTGAGCCTGAGAGGCGGTGATTATGAAGCAATAAATGTGAGCTCTGACATTGACTCAGTAGTTTTGTAAATGTATATTTGAATTAATCATATAACCTTTTGGTTTTCTCACTTACCAAATGTTGGAGTTGAAGTACAGGATCTTACGGTTTCTTCTGAGACTAAAACTCTCATTCTGTGTTTCACTGAGGTCAATAGTAATAGGAATTACGGTTAGTAATTTTCTTCAATATAATAATTTTTTTCTATTACTTATTCCTGGGCTTTTTATCTGAGATTTTGATTACTAAGGAAAAAAATGTTAAGGAAATTAAAGAGGAAGTTACTGACATTAGGAAAAGTGGTGATTTTACTGACCAAGCTGTGGCTGTGTAATATGTTTTTGTATATACAGAATAGTCTCTTCAAAAGCACCTTGTGTGCCTGTGTTTGCTGTGGTTATATTTGATTTTGATTTCCAGGATAAATTTTAGTTTCTTATTTATATGTTAAGGGCGAGTAAATGAGGAATGGCCAATGACTTTAGTTTACAAAACATATTGCTAGGATCAGAGCGCAGACTTGGCCACAGTCCTGAATGATTTTCACCTAGCTTCAAGCCTGAGCAAATTGTTATCGCTGGGGTAAAGGTTGGCTAGAAAGGAAATCATGTTTTTTTATTTTGTATGATGAATCTTTATAACCAAAGGCTAATATAAATTATGTGTCATTGCCTTTCATTTGTTAACAGAGGACATGGATTTCAAGCTTATTGGATTTCAGCATTTGCTGATTCACCTTTAAATCATTTCTCTTTTTTGTGTCTTTTTTTTTTTTCTGCAGGATGTTTTCACTCCAGAATGCAAATTCAAGGAATCTGTGTTTGAAAACTACTATGTGATCTATTCTTCCACACTGTACCGCCAGCAAGAGTCAGGCCGAGCTTGGTTTCTGGGACTCAATAAAGAAGGTCAAATTATGAAGGGGAACAGAGTGAAGAAAACCAAGCCCTCATCACATTTTGTACCGAAACCTATTGAAGGTATGAAACCAACTGACTGTCTTTGTTGGACCCTTATTTGTGTGTTGACATCAATTCTGCTCCTTGCCCTTGTGCTCCAGAGAGTGTGCCTGGAATGTAACAGATCAGAAGAAGGATTCAAAACAAATATTCAAAAAACACAATAGTATCTTATTTATTTATTTTTTTATTTTTTTATTTTTTATTTATTTTTATTTTTTTTTTGAGACGGAGTCTTGCTGTGTCGCCCAGGCTGTAATGCAATGGTGCAATCTCGGCCCACTGCAACCTCCGCCAGGATTCAAGCAATTCTCCTGCCTCAGCCTCCGTAGTAGCTGGGAATCTCTTCCTATTTAAAAAAAAAAAAAAAAGGAAAATTCTATTACAAATACTTGGCACTTGAAAAAATGCCTGAGTATAGAAGCTGGAAACATTTTGAAAGTAGAAAAGGAGTGGTAGTTACTATCTAGTATGTAATTTCCTCCTTTTCTAAGCCTAATAATTTAATTTCTCAAGATCTACCCTTGAAAAACAAATGATAGTTTTATATTTACGGTATTACATTGCATCCTTTTCAGATGAGTTTACAACCTTTCTGCTCATAATCATTTAATACTCTTACTCTGTTCGTTTATTTCAAACTGACCATTAGAATAAACCTTTTTTTCCCCCTGAGGAAACCGATTTTTATCCTCATTTTATAGATGAAGAAATGTAATTTAAAGTAATTAAGTAACCAGTCCAAGACTGGTTGCTAGATAACCAGGGCTAGATAAATACAGAACTGGGATTGCAGTCTAAGAACCCTAATGTCAATGCCTATGTACATAACCTCTGCGATGTATTGCCCTTCAATCTGAAGTAAGCCTATGAATATGCAAATACTCAGAAAAGTCAGTGATAGCAAAGCAGAAATGTTATACTAGGATGCAACTTGAATAGTAAACTAATTTTAAACCATGCAAAATTGAGCAAGGTATACATGATATGATGAGAAACACTCATATTTGTAAACAATCAGATAAAACAGCTAATGGAATGCCATATTCAAGCTAGCCAAGAAAGAATTAACAATGCATCACTTCTTTTCTGGTGAATTCTAACAAGTTTTATTTCCTACTCAGTAAAAAAATTTGGACCAGATGATTCCTAAAGTTCTCTGGCAATGACATTGTATGGCAGTGTTTATAAGCCCTTTACTGTAAAACCATGTTCTTTCATTGAACCTAGCGTAGAATTTACATGTAAAAATGGTCTAAACATATTTTGTTTATCTAATTATTGAATAAACAAGTTAGAGCTTTATGAGCTATTTCCATTATTTGTGATTTTTTTTTTAAATGAGGGAATAGGATGAAAGGCATCCTAGCTATAACTTACCTTTAAATAGATTTTAACAAACACGGCAGTCACACCTGTATTCCCAGCAATTTGGGAAGTCGAGGCAGGTGAATCACTTGAGGCCAGGAGTTCAAGGCCAGCCTGGCCAACATGACGAAACCTCGTCACTACTAAAAAATACGAAAATTAGCCAGGTGTGGTGGTACACACCTGTAATCCCCACTACTTGGGAGGCTGAGGCAGGAGAATCCCTTTCAACCCAGGGAGGCGGATTTTGCCAGGAGTTGAGATTGTGCCACTGCTCTCCAGCCTCGGCAACAGAGAAAGACTCTGTCCCAAAAATAAGTGAATAAATAAATAAATAAAGTTTTTGATAATATTTTTCCATAGGGCAGGTATTAAGCACATAACTAGATGACACTTCTAGGAAACGATTAGAAAATGATAGCTCCATAAGAGATTAGCTACCTTGCTGCTAATAGGTTCACCAAAAAAATTATTGACTATTTTATTTGTAATGTTTAAAGGCATTTTTGTAACCCCGTAAGCCCAGTGCTAATACTGTCAGCATCCTAACAGAGTCCAGACTGCACGGTAAATGAGCCCTTCGTTTGTGAGGGGAATTGACCTCTGATGGAGGAAAAGCCAAAGTAGGTTTTTTTGTTTTGGGTTTTGCTTTTTTGTTTGTTTGTTTACTGCTTATTTGTTTTTCAAATATGTCTGCCTTTATACCAGTCCTGCTGGTGTTTTCTCCTGAATGTCAGGATTCCCAAAATTAAGCTCTGCGAGTTTGAGGGTGATTAAGTCCTACACTGATAACACAATAATAATTACCCACCAGCCCATTTCCCTTCACTCTTTCACATCTCATCCTGTGTTTAGAGAACAGGAGTGTTAATAAGGGGTTTCAGGGTCACCTATTCTGATAGACTGACTTGATATTTAAGCACATTACTATGTACATTGCACATAAACCTCTACTTACATGGGTCCCCTCCCCTGGCATTTTGGACAACAGCACAGGCTTCCTGATTCTCAATTCTGCCCTTTCAGAGTATTGTTCAAAGCACAGATAAGTAACTCCCCCAGATGTAAAATGTTTTAGTGGTGGCCTCCCCCTTTAGCATTAGATACAGCAGCCAAATACTCTGACAAAGAACAAAATACAGTCTCCTCCTTTTCTCCTCCCTCCTCCTTCAAGAAGCACATTACTCAGCTCCTGCAGGTGATGAGTATTCAGGGTCTGGTTCTTACCTTCCGAAAAAAAAAAAAAAAAATCTGTGTACTTTGCAAATATTTAAGCTTCAAGAGCTGAGTCCCGGAGAGATAAATATATCTGCAAATAAGATCACTAAGGATCAATTGAGAGCCATCTGTAGAGAAGTATTAAACTTGGAATAAAGGAATATTGATTTATTTCTCCCAATTTATTTTGTAGTGGGGAGACAGTGCTAACACACACACACGCACACACACTTGGGCATATACATGTTATCCATTTTCTTTGTTAGAACTGGTGCTTTAAGCTCATAGAATCTGATTTAAGTCTCAGAAGAATGTAAACTGCTGTTTCCCAAACATCAGTATCAGAACCATCTGCAGTGTTCTTAGAAGCTAACAGATTCTCAAACCAAATCTCCGAAGTGATCTGATGTTTTAAACCCAGGTATGACCTAGGACTCCATAGGTTTACAACCCTGTCCAGGTGATTTCTGATGGCATTGAGTTTGAGATGCGGTGTTCTGAATTTGGTGTTTCTAAGCTCCTTTTGGTCAAATCTGGCCATGGATGATTTAAATTTATTCATATCATTGTGATCAATATATTGGACTAAATCTAATGTAATATAAATTGTCTCTTTGACATGAAATTTAGTATATTATGTATGTTACATTTTTACATTCCCTACTACTATTAAGACAGGCATATTTTAGTGCAGGGTTAAATTACTATATGAAGTTAGTAGAGGTAGTACTAATTATTTTATTAAAGTGACCTCCTAGAGCAACCCAATGAAAATCAAGTAACCAAGAATACAGAAGTGTCTCATTCTTTGGGTCAAAATTTGGCAATGATGTGCTAAGCAATTTTTATTTGAATGAAAGCAAGTGTATTAGAGAAGTCAAGAAACAGAATGGCAACTCCATAGGCAGAGCAGCCTTGCTAAGTAATTTTGAGAAAATAATTTATCTCCTTCCACCTCAGTCATCTCTGAAGATAAAGTCTATTATAAATTCCACCTGCTTCAAAGGAATAATATGAAAATTAGACATTGTAGAAAGTTGGATTTCTCAAGAGAATTCCATCAGATCAAATATGAAGTGCCTTTTTCATTTTATCTTAGAAAAAGGACATTGTCTTATTGTGTTTTGTATTGGAAAAATGCTGTGAGATGTGGCATTGTGTTAGAAATTAAAGGCAATGAAAATGGAATCTGGAAGGAAAATAATAATCCCTTCAAAACTACATAATAAGACACCAAAGAACAGAGCAAATCAGGAGTCCTGATGTTGTAAAGCTCCAACTGGTAGGACACTAATGCCAAATTTGGTATTTTTATTTCAATAAACTGGAAATAGAAATAAATGCCTTGGTTCTCTTTTGGACCCAACCATACTAAAAGACAAAAGCAGAAAGATGGAGCAAAAAAGAACCTCTCTGCCAGTAATTGTTTTAATTACAGAAAGGATAATAGCTGCAACTCTTTCTTTTGCGTTTTGGATTTCTGCCAGCCTGTGATACTCCTGCAAACCATTGTAACTTCTTCAAACTAGCTTTTTCTGGTTTTTGAATGTAGTCTTGAATACAACCCTCCTACCTCTTCCCCACACATTCTTCCTCTTTCTCTCTCTCTGTTCCTCATGCAAATATTGCTTTTTCTTTCTTTCTAAATGAACATATAGATGCTTTCGTTCACAACATCTCATAACTCATTATAGTAAATATGTATAGCACAGTGAATGCATTTCTAAGGCAATGCATTTCTTCCAAACCAGCACTTAAAATTCTCCTACAGTTCCAAAAGGATTCCATGTAACATTAATTAAGGTGTGAAATTGCTTTATTTAAATTACCCACACCCTTCTATGATCTGCTATTAAGACAATTAAATATCTTCAATGGTGCATTAACTAACACAGCAGTCTAACCTTTTAGCTTCTTGGAAATTACAGAGGACCAAGGAAAATGCAATTAAATTCGTAGTAATAAAATGATTAATCATATTTAACTTGTCTTTGATGGTAACTAGTAGTCGATGGGGGTTCTTTATAGAGTTTAAATTTTTAGTTTTATTAAAAACAGAAGTTTGGAAAACAGAATTTGTCAGAACAACTACAGTGTTCCCACACGCAGACTGTTCAACTCTCCACTACAGAGTGACATTGACACTGAAAAATTAATACCTGCTACTCCTCATTACTATTAGTACTCTCAAATTTCAAAGGATCTGTCAAGAATACAGCAGCAATATAAAGTGATGATTAGTAGCAGCTATGCTACCTTATATTCCATTTGAATGGCATATTGTCATTTCAACATGCTTTCTGAACCAGAGTATCATTTAATAGCCACTAAATCGTTGGAAGTATGAAGGTTAAGATTTACTATCCCTGTTTTAAACACGAGGAAGGTGTCATTTCTAGAGGTTAACTCACTCAAGTGTATACAGTTAGAAAGAA